TATCATCAGGTGTCTCGAAATTACCCAATGACCGTCCTCTAATGAATTTCTCTAAGCTCATAGCAGTCGTGAAGAAATAGTTGGGTGTCGTTGACCCGCGGGGAAATTGTAACTGTCGAATAGGGAGTGAACACCGCCCACAGACGAGTTTCTTTTTCAGATTTTCATCAAAAATCAACGACGTTCTCCTGATTGTTTCGTCGTTTACTCGGAAGAGGAGAATTCGACAACCCCGGAATTTTCATTGCCACTCAGCCGGTTGTCCTCTTGCGGCATCGACATTCGGAGAAACGTAAGTGTGAAAGGCGGAGAGCTCAAAACTGGCCTCAAACATCCCACTCATGTAAGCAAGCAAATCGTAAGGGCGGAGTAACACAAAGAGGGTTTTGACAAATCTATTTAGGATAAGTTACCAATTTTCTTGTGATCAGGCAATCCGCACTTTGACTCCATCCAAAAGCACGCAGCAGATTGTTTGAGTACGTATGATCCGCATAATTACAGTAAAGATAGCTCTAATCACCTGGAGGACTGACATTAGGCTGACCCTTTTGCTCAGGCGAAGTTCCTTCCCAATTACGGTATGAATATACCCAAATACCCTGTCGCAAATTACTGTCGGAACACTGTCGTATCGCGCGCCGCATGGAACTACCTCAGAAGATTTGTGGCCGACAAAAAGTAGGAGGCGGTTATTTGGGGACCCCGAACCAAAGGACCAACATGATATGACAGGGCTACTGCCAACCGAGTCCCACTTCATGGTTTCGCAGCAAAAGCGGCTGGAAAGGTGAAAAGCTGATATATTCGGCTCTGAAAGTAAACATGCTTTTCCTCCTCACAGAGCCAATGTCACGATTAGTTCGACTACATCCTGCTCTAGGAAAAATTAGGCTCTTGATCAGACGATGTGTGGTTTTCTTCACGGCCGAGGACGGTCCAGTAAGTATCCGAATTTCGGTATCTTTCACCCCCTTAACACTGACGGATAGAGGCTGACGAATTCTAAACCTTCGTTGCCACATTTCTGGACCCGACCTTACGCTTATGAGCCAAGGTGTCTGTGGACCACCTCTTAGGCATTTGATGTTATAGATTCCTCGTCTTAATGAAAATCCATAATCTTACAGCCCACTCATGGTCTCGAGCTGTTCTCCGTGTTCGTTTTCGCTTTTCACCCTTCGTTTGTAACGGCTGGTGATCGTGCTTTCGCCGTTCACTGCCTTTTTCAACAGGAGCAAATCACAGTATCGGCTCGGTTCGACTTTATAAGGTTCGTTTTACACTTTCAGAGCGGACAAATGTGAAATAACCTTTCAATCGGTGAGCTGCAGGAGAGATTCGATCTGTACTCTCCGCTTAGCCTTCAATATCGAGATCTATGTTCAATCTCTGACCTTTGAATGATCTCATGTTAGTGGTTTCAGTGAAATCGTTCCAAAGGCAATAGTTGGTGTCACGTACTCACAACCAAAAGTCAACTTCACAATTGTGCAGGGAAGAGTTCCAAATGGAGCCAAACTCGCCAACCAAGTCTCTGTCGGAGAGCCTCTGATGTTGGTCTGGGCTCTCGACGATACGTCGAGTAAGTCTTCCATTCAATTATTCTTTTTCTCTAAAGTCCAAGGGACGTTTCTGGTCAACGCAATAATCCAAGAAAGTCGAGGATCGAGGGATTCTTATTTGGGAAGAGGTAGGCCATTTGTGGATGAGTGGTCTCCTGAATGTGTCTAGTGAAGTCTCCGATAAGCCATACCATCCGCAGGAGCTCTTGTCGCTGGTGTTGTTTGAGGGATCCTGTGGGCTGCCACCACCATTGCATCCTTCTTTCAACTCAAAAACCTGGGACTCAAAAACCCATTGAGGGCCACAAACCCCATGCAGCATACCCCACGATTACACATAAATAAATACAATAAATACCCCTTAATAGCTGCCACTGCAGGCTTTGAGGTTCTGAATTTCCAGACATCTTCTCCCAGCAGTTCACAGTAAAAATATACTGGATCTTCGCCTTAGAACAAATAAGAGCGCTTGCCCATTCTCCTACCAACCGAGGAACATTACGTGGCGCCAGAAAAGGTCACCGTATACGAATTCTTGGCTTATTGGCCACTTGACGAACGAACAATTGCTGGTTGGATGTGCGTATGGTCCAGCCTTGAAACGATGAACCAACTAGCAGACAGTGCCCGACGTCTCTTTGGGACAATGACCTCTGTGACAGGGAAAAGTACAATTTTCCCTCATTGAAAGAAGTGTTCATGACAAAACACACGCCTTTTCCGGTACCCTTCATCCCAAAGGACAGCATAGCACTGATGAAAATTACTAATTTTAGAGCTTTATGGTCTACGAATGTTGGACTGTACTGCTGAGACTCACGACGGACGTGGAATGAGCATTATCAGGGATGGGTGCTCCATTGACACCACGCTGATTTCGGATATCAGGTGAGCCAAAATCACTTCGATGGCTCTCTCAGTCATTCACCATAGCCTCGATTACCATTTTCCCCAGGTACTCGGATGATCATCGACGGGCGTTCGCTGATGCGATAGCCTTCAAATTCCCCGATCTCGCAGATGTGTGGTTCAGATGCGTCGTACGGTTCTGCATTAGGAGGTAGTTGGCCATAGCCTGATAGATACCATAGGTTCTTCCCCGAAAAAATCTCATTCAGATCGGACCACCTGCTACTCACTGGTAAATCCGAAGAGCACCTTTGCGACACCACCTCAGTGAGTAATTTATTCCGAGATTTTAACGATTCCAAGAGTATTCCGAGTTTCAGAAATGCAACGACAATACGCGTCGATTCCGGCGGAGCGCAGGAGTGAGCCATAGCGACGAAAGCGTCATCGTCGTCACGGGGCGATTGACTGTCGGTGGCGACGATGTCGTCTACAGCCATGCTGCTCAAGGTCAGAAGTTTGATGTTCAGCGGTGAATCCAATCTGCTGCTGCTGTTTTATCGCTCACTCATAGCTCTCAAATGGTATCGAAAGCAATCACTTTTAGTGTCGACAAATGAGACATCCACAGTCTGTCTGACAAAGAACACTGTGGCGCTGGGATCCGCCATTTCGGCGACCGTCTGCATTTCCACGCTGCTCACCATAGGATCGCTGATATACTCGAAAGTGAAGCTCACCTCGAGCCACTCCTGACAAGCTACTGAACACTTGATGTGAGCATTTTGTTGAACAGAGGAGCTTTAGCTCACGCAAAATCCCAGAAGGCGTACCCTAGTGAATCCTGATCTTTCCGGCATCTTTAGATGTCTATTTCCTTCCGTGATTTCCATCACATTAGTGTTAGCATTTCCCACAGATCCTTACCATCACATTTTCATACTTTACTACTTTGTCGATCGACTGTTACTGGTATCTTCTTTTGTTTCAAATGATAATCAGAACTGAGCTTTTCTGTGTGCATATCCTTCACGATTGCTGAGCCGACGCTTTCGTTTCATACTTGCCTAATTTGCCCTTTTCCGCAAACATAACACTTAAAAAAATAATAATGTTCTTGTACATGGTCCTGCTACAGTGCACACCATTGATTCTAACTGTCGGATTTCCATGACAACCATGCAAACCAGTGGTGCATGGTACAGCTTCAGAGGGTAAACAACCCAGAGCAACACGTAAATGCACACCGCATCGGGAAAGGCTCCTTCACGACTGCTTTTCTGAAATGGTGACCAGGTTTTGCAGTGTTTTTTTTCGTGAACAGATTGCACTAACTTATGCCAAATAAATACATAGCACTACTATGAAGCCTGAGCAATGATGACCACAGGAAAATGAGCAGCTTATTTTTAGCGATAGTTGACGCTCTTCTACTGAACATTGTGGTTGTAAAAGTTCATGTGAACTAATCTATAAGAACTAAAAACAGAGTTGGTGTTATCGGCGGTCGATCAAAGCAACGCACTGTAAAGAACACGCACAGATCGAAACGCCATCATGATACTGAGTAGAAGTTCAATGCGTTGGCACTTTCCAAAACCGGACTGGCCATTGCCTCACGCTTCTATGATCGACTAAAGACGTAGTGAAATATTATCCCATGCCTATCAAACAGCAGCTTCGCTGCTTTCCTCCGAGCTTTCACAAGCAATCAAACGATACTAGCTCAGTTGAATCTGACAAGAAGGGGTTTACAGTCTGAGAACCATATGAACTACCGACAACTGGAAGGTGAGATGGTACTTCATCAGTTGCATTTAGAACTAATTTTACCCATGGAAAATAACCCACAGAATGTGGAACGATAGTGAACATCAAACCAAGCAAAAGGGAGTTGTTACTCCTGGTCACCGCCGTTCATGAACCATAAGTTCCTTCTACCTGCCTCACAGCCTTCCACAATCGCAGAAGGGGAAAAAAAACGAATTACAATCACTGACTATAACCAACTTACCTATCACAGCTCTTTCAGCTAGTAATGCCAACAGGCGTAGTGAGAAATTCCAACGGTGGAGTTTAATGAGACAGTTTGTCCAAAGATTCCAAATTGCAACCTGACGAAAATCCTTCATTGAGTCTATCGTTATTTTATAAAATCTTAGTTGTTTGTGAATACCACACACCTAATGTAGTATCAACAACTAGAAATTATGGCATTCCCGAAAACGGTGCAAAAAATCAGAAAACGGAACGGAAATTTACAAAAGAATGATAGGGAAAGTCACCAACAGTGGATCGTGGAAAGGTGCAGTCAAGGATCTACTCAAATAATCAGCTATGCCAACCTTTGAGCTCAGACAAACCAACATCAATAAATATTTATCTGAGATATCACCGTTTCAACACTTCATAAGAAAACGCCTCTTAATTACACCAACCAATATTACAAAAAGACGAACACAAAGGACTTGCACACACACAAACAGGAATGATTTCACCAGAAAATATCACAGAAAATTACCAAGACAAATCTCTTTCTGAAACAGGTGGATCTACTCATATCCGTGAATATTAGTAAACATTTTAATAAATTTCCGAAAAACCACAATATACCGTAAGCAGGGTGCTAAGCTGGTGGAGACACTAGCTATGCAAAATTTAAGTTTCAGCGAAAGATCCATGATTGCTAAGAGAAGCCACAGAGGTTTGGGGATCATCCATTAGAACTTCCCGGATGGTGTTCTCTCATGTGACGCTCGAACCTTGCAACACAGTCTTGTTGGAAATCGCGTTCACAGGATTCAGTGTAGGCGAAGCGATAAAGCACCTGAAAAGTAACAAATAATATCAGCTCTAGCAACTATTTTGAATTAAGCTATGTAATCTCCACTATTATCTATGACATACATCCAACAATGGAGCACGTTGCCTACCCTTCTCCCACAGAAACAAGAGGACTGTGAGTCAAATAAGCTCGCCACAGCAAGTCACTAAAAGTGACGATTTCTCTTGTCCAGGAACTGCTCGAGGCACCAAAAAAGGTAATACCTAGATGGGGCGAGGTCAGGGGAACAGGAAGGGTGGTGAACGGTATTCCAGCCAAGTTCCAGTAACCAGAACTGCGTCGAATTTGCGAGGGGAGGGCGAGCTTTATCATGCAGAAGATGGACAGAAACTCTTCTTCCTGGAGCTGGTTATCGTGGATGGTAGCCGTGCTTGCTTGTTTTCGAAGGAGCAACTCGTGGTATAGCATTCTCTTCGAGCCCACAAAGCAGTATACAGGGCAGTCCTTCTTTATGCTATTCTAGCTTAGACTGCCGTCTGCCTGCACGAGCTGACCATCCCCTCTCAGCGGACAGACAAGGATCTATTGTTGTTGTCCTTGGAGAATCCAGCCTTTACCTCCCGTCACCGGACCGAGCAGAAAGACTTTTGAGATGACGTTGGAGTTAACGGAACGAGCCCCGGAACCGCGGCCCAGCAAAAAACGATTGCCCGAAGTTGGTTTCTCGACAGTCGTGACATACAAGAGACGCTTGGGGTTTTCTTCAATATTATCGGTGGTAACAATAGTAAATTTGGGTCACAAGACCTTTGCATCAACATCACAGATGAGTGTAAAACAAAAACATTGGAACCCACCAAGAAAACTAGGAGATGCAGAATAACCAGGTAGAAAAAGAAGGTCATTCGTGCGGAAGCTGATGTCATGATCGCTCTNAAAAACGATTGCCCGAAGTTGGTTTCTCGACAGTCGTGACATACAAGAGACGCTTGGGGTTTTCTTCAATATTATCGGTGGTAACAATAGTAAATTTGGGTCACAAGACCTTTGTATCAACATCACAGATGAGGGTAAAATAGAAACCTTGGAACCCACCAAGAAAACTAGGAGATGCAGTATAACCAGGTAGAAAAAGAAGGTCATTCGTGCGGAAGCTGATGTCATGATCGCTCTTCCCTAAAAAACGAAACAGCTTTATTAATTGAACCGATGTATGGAGGCTTCATTCCAAGAGAATCCTTCCCAGAAAGGAAGGCAAGGCAGAACAAGGTCATCAGAATATATGTATCTGGTCTAGCCAAATTTCTTTCATCTAACTACACCACCCGCCAAGAATACTTACAATGCTCAGCGAAGCTCGATCGTGTATCGGCAAGCGAGCGTATCCTCGTTGCGTTTCGGCTTGCCCGAACCGTTGGAACGGGTCCAGGCGACGCTCGTACTGCGCACTGTAGCTACTCTCTTCAGGTAGTGGAACACTCGTCTCAGCTGGCTTGTTTCCTAAGCGATCTTCATCATATGGATTTCACTACGGGGCAATGTAACTGTAGGATAATATCTAACGCTTTGATACTTGTTCCTAGAACTCCTAAAAATAGGCAAAAAGCTCTTGAACAACTCAAAGGACTTGCATCTGCACAGGTCGAACTCAATGCCACATGAAAACGACTCCAAAATCATTCAGTGAATCTACCAGCTGGTTATCGGAAATCTTGGGCTAAAACCAGTTCAAGGTTTCCGATATCCGGTTGATAGGTTCTTCACATAACTGCCACTGAGTATGCTATTGCTGGAACTGAACCGAGCTTGATAAACTTACCACAACTTTGAAGGAATTTAATTTTTCCATACAGCTTCACATTGTCGTCACGAACTTTCTCGATCTCCGTTTGAAGCACCGTTTGCTTGGTTTTTTCAGCCATTAGCTCCTTCAAAAAATTCAGATATAATACACCAGCAATTAGCAGTATCCTTCCAACCCCAGGTTCAAAAATATGACCAAAACATGATAGAAAACCTCTTCCAAGACGCCAACACGCAGCTTCAAGCGATCTCTCTGAGCTAAGACAATCGTTAGCACGTTTCTGGCATCGCCTTCCATTTTGGGATCGTGGACCGCTCCTAGCATGTCGATTGTCGACAACTCGTCGACATCTTGGCCCTTAACAGACGACAGACTCATTATGGAACCCGACAAATCTAAAATAATCCTAGAAAAGAACTCATTCACTGGAAATCGTAATGCACANACTTAAATTTCAAATTTTTTGGAATTGTAGTTAGTCATGAAGTGCTCTCCAATTTTGCGTGCTAGCGATTTGTGTGAAGGCGAATTCCAAAAAAAAACTTCCGGATGCAAATAAACAGAGGAGACTCCACAAAACCTCCACCAGAGAGGTTGTTCTCTCTCAGGAGGTCTCACAAGTTAGTCAGTTCCTCCAACTCTTCTCACTGTCAGATAAGTCCTGCGGTTCAATATTCGTCCAGAGCTTTGAAGAGTTTAAATGGGGCGATCAATCACAATCCAAATCTCGGGCAACCTATACACACACAATGCGGCACTTCATCTTGTTTGTTACGGTTTCCTGAACTCTTCAGCTACAAGTATAAGTACTGTGGAAACGGATAGAACCCAATGATCAGCTCGCCATCTTGAACCTGCGAATACCCATCACTTTTGACTGGCTGCATCGATTACGAACTAGGCGTAGATATATTTGGGTCCACCAGTACACCCACTGGTTCCCGAATGTCATCGATTAAATCAAAAGTGTTTTAGTGCTTCCATACAGGAAGTTTATAATGGAATGATTATTTGCTCCCAACCTGAATCTCCATTTGACCCATGCAACCTCCAATCACTTCAAAGAATTCTTGAACTGACCACACCAACCCGGGCGATCTACTGCCCTATTACCGTAGAACGACAACGATGACATTGGTCAAACTCTCTGTAGTCATACACTCACGCATGAACATCTGTGCTACTTTGATAAATCACCAACACAACGAACATTTCGTCGAGCGACAGCGGCTGCAAGATCTGCTTCAAGTTTGGCGATGAGCTCCGTTTGTGTAGCCGTCTGTTGCCGAAGTTGGGCCAGCTCCACGTCATTCTTCGCCAACTGCTCTGAAACAGACGAAACACATCACAGTATAGAGAACGACAACTACCCACCCACAACACACAATCACACATGTCCATGCCTCACAATCGTACTCGTCAGAAATCGTGCAGTTTTTCAGATAAACGAATAGCAACGGAAAGGCACACAATCCCAGAGAAGTTCTCTGCTGAATAGATTACAAGACGGAAAGAACATTTATAAATAGAAACTGCACACAAAAGAACAGATTGAGATCGCGTACAATTCAAATACAATTAACTTCAAAAAAANAAAAAAAGAGACCAAATAAATTCACAAGATGTTGAGATTTCGACTAGAACACCTGTACACCGAGATCATGACTGTGATGGATGAAACGAAAGGAAAAAATATGAAATTCTAAAAGCGCCGGGAGAAACAACTCATAATTAAACAAAATGGAATGAATAAATATGAACTAGAAGATCATCACGAGGTATAAATACAATGTATAAATGAAAAGAACTCCTCATATTGGAATGAGTAAGCCGAGTTCATAGTTCCACCGCGCGACACGGCTTAGCGACAATATGTCGTTACTCACGATATCACTCGATTTGTTTCCCCTGTGTCACCGCTGATGAACTACAAGCCAAGCCAAACCCTAAGAAGTGATTAATAAGTTCGTCTCGGTGTATGTCATCTGAGAATAATCACCAAATAAAAATAAGGATAAAATTGTCTCAAAAACAGGAACAAGGAATAAATAAATTACAGAATATACATGGAAAAAATTAGAATGAAAATGAAATCATTTTGATCCTTCTTTGGAAAGAGTAAAGGAATCGTAATCGCAGATGAAAGCAATGAAAACTTCCAATGACTGGGTCAGATCAGTGAAGCTGCATCTATACATATGGGCCAAAATCTCAGCCTTCTGCTAGCGTAAATCGCACGCAACTGGTTGCGGCCGCACCTATTTGTGTCCGTTAACCCGTGGGTACCAAAGCTTTTAGAGAACTTCGGTTCAAAATGTAGATGCTCTACTCCCAATGATTCGGCAGTGCGACAAAATTAGTACACCCTATACGCCATTTTTGGGAACAGCACGCCGGTCCTGCACCATAGGAATAGGTAAGACTTGAATGGAAGTCGAAGTGAAATCAGAGACTAGGCCTAATGCAGTGAAAACCATTAAAATGACGGAGATCGTTGTATTTTCTTCAATTTTTAGTCCGCTATTCGAATCAAGTCCCTATTTTGTAAGAGTGGGTAAGCAGAAAGGGACCATGATAGTAAACTAGCTGTCCTCATTCCAGGGACGCCAGTAGATGGACGGTAAGAGATTGTGATAGACCCAAGGTGTTATTAAGAGCTCTTTGAGGCAGCCAACATTCGCATTTTCGCCACCGCTCGGTCCAACTGGCTAGCTTTTTCACAGCGTTCCTCAAACGAGAATAGTGGCGATGACGAGTTTGCTGTCGCTGGGCGATCGTCACCGCCTGAAAGCACCAGCGAAGAATTTGACGATCGCTCTTGAGTGGTAGAGAAGAGTGGAGTAGCAGGAACTGGCACCATCGTGGGAGGGGCCTCTTCAAGGAGTGCGTATCGCGACGCGTTCTCTAGTATTGCGTGGAGGTCCTGAAACGAATACTCGGATGTTATGAGCTAAATGGATGAATGGACATGTGGATTTTGCAGTGATTACTGGTCTCCTAGTAAGGCTGCCACTACAAAGAGCAGCAGTCCTGAGAGAACAATCAGATTGTGAAATTTGCCTTTTCCCAATGGAACAATCAGATTGTAAAATTTGCCTTTTCCCAATGAGCGGGGCTCAACCCACGAAATAACCACATCGAATGCACTCAAAGGAATGCTCAGAAGAAGCAGTAATTCCAATACCTGTTGCCAATTTTTGCTAGTCGGGATCGAGCCGACTGCAGGTGGATAGACCTTTCCTTCTTTCAGACTCGCTTTCTGTCTCGTTCGATGATTATGGAACCAATTGTTCACCGTTCGAATGTTCAAATTCAATTTCAGCGATAACTGTAAAAAGTTAAATATTATTTGTATTGACTTTTTATTATACGGCCCCTATTCGAGAAGATCGGGGGCTTTTGAACAGGTCTTTGACTCACCAGTTCGACCGTCTTCTGGCTCGGATGATGCTCATGTTGGAAGACAAATCGAAGCGCCTCCTTCTGCTGTTCCGTGATTATAGTGCGCTTAAACTACTCGTCTAGTTACTTCACATGAAAACAAAGTAGAAGAGCGCAGCGCTCGACAATTCTGACCTGCACTTTACGAGGCGGAGAATCGAAAAGTGGCTCAGACAAGCGCTTGCCATTCCCGTTCACGAGGTTTTTCTCAAGCGGTAGTCCAGCATCAATCTTCAAAGTGAATCACATTCAGACTCACGTAAAATACCAGAAGGTTAAATCGTACCCGCTCCCTGACGAGAAGCCTCTGAACGGCTTCTTTGTCAGCCAACCATGCCTTCATTTTCTCGAAAGGCTCTCGCCCTCTCACGGATAATGTAGACCATCGTCTCGGACGCAAAAACAGCTCCGAACATCCGCCAGCGGAGATGCCGAGGACCGCTTCACCGAAGAGCTAAACACCGAGGATTGAGTTCCAGGTATTTCTAGGAGAAAAATGTAGGGAATCGGAAACTGACCCTTTGCGAGATCCCGTGCAAGTGAAGACGATCTTTGACCTTTCGAACAAGAAGCGCTGTGTCGACACTTTCGGCATCTGCACCAGAATCCGTTGCTTCGTCCAGGGTGCCGGTGCTCATGGTGTCGAATTCGGAGCGCGGAAGACCGATTACACTGTCGTCGTCCTCGACTATTTCGCGTTTTACCTTTGTCGTCGGCGCCGTATCTGCTTCGCTGAAGAGCTCACCTCCGCTTGTATTTATCGCATCTGGAAACACCACTTTACACTTTCACTACCATACTTGTTACCAGAGTGGTTCTTCCGAACTTTTTCTCATAAGAACTCTATGTTTTCAAATCGTGCCGATGACAAATTGACACAAATTCGCCTGCATTACAAGTTGGTATGCTTCTGCTGTTTTAGAATAGTCAAATTTTTAATAGAATAGTCAAAGTTTTGAATAAACTCCAGCTTAAAGGAAAAATTCGAGTCCGAAACTTGGCAAGAACCAAGCAGATGGAGAAATGATCGATTAAAGCTCACTTGGTTCGTCATCAATTTGTATACTATCGATATCCCGTTGGACGATGTCCTTTTTGGCTGATTGGGAGACCTCACGCATGAACAGCTTCATACGTATGAATGGTTCTCTGCCCTTCTGTGTCAACATATTCCACTGCTTCGGACGAGCCAACAAATCAGACACAGAGCCCTAAACGGTGTTCAAAATATGAAAATGAAAATTTGCAAAGTACAAAAACTGCTGCGGAAAACTACGACAACTGTTCTCCCTCTTTTCCCAAGAATGAGAGGCTTGCCGAACGAGAAGCGCTCGTAAAATCAAAATATGAAATCTTAATCCCTAATCAATCCCGTTTTTAGGATGCGCCCTGCACTTGACTTCCATTGAGAACCGTTCAGGCGGTTTCGATTGCGACAGTGGTCCATACAATGACTTGTGATGGCCAGCTCATGCACATGCCTGTGCTTTTATCCTCTCACAATCAGACGAGTCTGGTACAAAGTAGGCGACTGCGTAGGGATGAAGGCTTGGTTGGTCTGGGTGTGCATCGATCTCGTATTCGAACCGCGGACTATGCGGGTGTGACAGTGCAGCCAAACTTGCCACTGCCCAATCTCTGCCCCGTAACCGCTCATATTTTCTACTTTTAGTAATCGTAAGGATTACCTGACTCAAGCCAAGAACGTGTTCTCCAAATTGTCGCTGAGAAATAGAATTCATCGATAAGAACTCCTTTATCTGCAAGAAACAAATCACAACAACCAATCGACCTTCTAAATTCACGCAGCAAGAGCTACCTGTCTGACAACATCATCAGTGTCGATATGCCCAAACATCTCAAACTGCTCCTGAGTGATTGGAGACAACCCGATACGCATTCTACTATTCATTATCTGAAAAAGAATCATCACGCTCTGCAGAATACCCCCACATTTGTGCCACTGCCTGATCAGTATGTTCATCATTTTAATCGCCCTGGGACCCACTGATTGTTGGTTATCTCACTTGCAGATCAAACGCTTCAAAAAGCGGCAGTAGTTAGTTAATTAGTTATTTTCCAAAGAAGGACTGACCTGATGCGCATGACTGATAGAAGCCATTCTCTCGTTATGCGACATTTCATGATACAACGGCGCTGGCTCCTCAGACTAAATTTCCAATTAATGGGTTTCAGAAACAGTTTTTAAGTTTACGTTTCGTAAAAATCAGTAGAAGAACACGAAGTATGAAAATCCCAACCCGTCTGTGACCGCCGCCAAATGATCGCGTTGCAATCGCCCGTTCCAATGTAGACTCCTGAAAGCATTTTAGTGGTCCACAAGTGGAGCGAAATAAATAAGGGATGAATCATTAAAATAAGGGTCATATGCAAATTCCAACCTGCTCCCTCAATTTGGCCAGTTCCGTCTGGAATATGCTCATAATCTTCTCCTTGGGGATGTCGTCATGACGCCACCTACTGTTTCTCGTTGTTGATCCAGCGTTTGCAGCCTGATTCGTGCCAGCAAGACGATACTAAAATCCTGCGTTCATAAGAGACAATGGAAGGCCTTGCGACATATTCCACGGATTATACGAATACACTAGTTAATTTTGAGAGAAGAAAGTTCTATTTCTATTTTTATTTTCTTTCTAGATGTGAAGATGTCGCATTGGATTAGGATCGATGAATTCGGGAAATTCCTCATGTTCAAGTCCCTAGGTGCGTATCCCTTCGCACAGTCTCTCTGCACATTCTCCAGCCCAAAAAGACATTTAAAACGCCATTATGAAACAGTACCTGATCCTCACGAGCACTAGCTGCCCGTTTATACGAATTCTCGTCGGGTTCATCGGGTGGAACGAGACCGCTATTTCCTTCCCATAAGGATTCTGGAGTGGGATGCTCAATACGAACTTCTGAAATGTTCAGATGGAAAATTCAACTTGAAAAGTTCCAGAAAGTCAAGCATTAAAAAAGGAAATGTCGCTCACCACTTGGCCACACACGACGTGGACTCAACGAGCACAGCAAATCGACTGCTTCGGCATCCGAGATCCAGCCGTATATCCGACGGAAGGCTTCACGTCCCTTATCGGTGAGCTTGCTCCAGTGTCTCGGTTTCGACAACAATTCACTTAGTGAGCCTTGAGACTGAAACTCAAACGATTTTTTTAAGAGAATCGTTGCAAACGCGACATGCACAGCATAAAAAGCAAGCCATTTCACGACTGTGATTTCTCATTGGGATGAAGCCAGTCAAGTTCTAACCTCCCCGCTACCCATGCAATCTGTAGTCTTCCTCTCTAATTCGATTAAATAGATCGCTGTTAAGGATCTTCATGCTACAGTTGTCTCACAACCCCCTAACCTTTCTTTTTATTCCATCACTCGAGCCCCGCCGTTTTTCTACGGGCATTGTTCTGACTGTGAGGTTTCACTTACATTCGGTGCACCTCGCTAGAGCGATACGAACGACTAATGCGGAACTCGAAACGCCTCCAACACCAGTAAATTTAAGCTAATTCCTCAAATCATTGGCTCGAATGAGTCCTCACTTTGCTAGAGGGGATACGGTAAACGTAATCTATATGCTAGAGCTGATTTTTTTACATAAGACATGTCAAATACAAAAAATATCGGCCTATAAGCAAGCAGAAAGCGCTTCACCTTGACTACCTGGTTCATGACGTATTTTGCGAACAGGCGTTGCCCAATGTTGTACGCAACCATGAGGCGTTTACACTGCCTCGCGATCTCTGCCGTATTCAGAGCACGTGAACCAAGCTCACGAACATTTCCTGCCACCCGAACCTAGAATACACAATTCATGGTCGCGTCGCTTTTTTCGAAGCACATCCTTAAATTGTACAGTAATCGTGATAGGTTTAGAATTCAGGACTACATCAACCTGGAACACTTGGAATTTCTCTGTGACATCCTAAACGCACGGATTTTTTAAATTTTGAAAAAAATTCATTAGTATCGAGAATCAACGAAAACCAGCCTGAAGATCTTGAATAGCTTTCAATTCTTGTGGCGTCTTTGCCGGTTCTCCTGTATAGTTCGTGAGCTTCGGTGAATAACGGAAATGTTCGAAAGGAATTTCTGTGGAGGGCGATCGAGTAGTATCCCCTCGGGAAGCAGCAGAACCATTCTCAGCATTGGAGCCACCCGCTGGCATTGACCCCATATTCTGCAACCAGGTATGATGGTACAAAGACTTGTAAGCAGAACTGGATCAAAACGAAGAATTCACCATAAGTATCTTGAAAAGATTCGTTTTATCATCGGGTTCAGATTTGGAGCGAGAGGGCTCCTGAGCGTTGAATTTAGATGGTCGTCGAGCCTTGAAAGACAAAGACATTTTATACCCCTTTTGCTTCTCAAATCATTGGCTGAACAGAAAACATTTTTGAAAAAATGTCCAAGAATTACCTGTTCTCCGTCGGGGTCCACATATCGCTCAGCTACCTCTCGTCCCACTCGAGTCGTTACAGCTTCCACCACTGACTGGTGGCTGCCAGCTAGGATTGCCTGCATAATGTCATCTCCTGAAACTTTCTCCAATGGCTTGTCGAAGCCAACTTTCGAAATGTTCTGAACAAATAAGCCTGCTAAATACAACAGGAACAATAGAACGGTCGTAATGCTGGGAATTCGAGAGGACGAGTACAGCAGCAGTAACTACGTAGCAAAACAATACACATTAAAACGTTATCGTCACATTTCAATCAGAGGAGACATTTGGCTTGGAGCCAGAACGAGGATTCATCAAAAGCTGCACGATTTCACATTCGTTCACACATGAACATGCACACTCGCTTTTCATGCACGATACTCACAAGTGGCGACTGCGCCCCTGCGCCACCCATTGCCCACCTTGGAATCGTTCATTTGTCTGTCGCAGTTGCGCGTTATCGTTCTGAAGGCGACGGTTCTTCGCTGCTAACAACCTATCCAACGATTGGACGGTTTCGCCCAGACGTGCAATAGACTCTTCGTTCGCGGTCGCCGCCTCGCCGAATTCGATTTCTCGCAACAACCTGAACCAATCAAACCTCGAAATTTAAGTGTCACGAGCAATCAAAAGTCCTAAACACCTTAATTCCTTTTTGATCGCCTCGTAATCACTCTTATCAGCCAGTAGAGCCTCCAACTGCTTTATCTGATGAGTCCGCTTCTCCAGCTCCGTAGCCAACTCATCGCAACGTAAGCGTGCTTTGCTCGCGTCCGCCGCTGCTGCCTCGACTAGGCGCTGATTCTCTTCGGTAAGACGAGCAATCTAAGGAACTTTTGCATTTTCCTCTATCAAATTAAGAAGTCGGTATCATATAAACACGAGTCACGTGTTTTGAACGCAAGTTCACCTGCTCGTCCTTCTCCTTCATGAGACCACCCAGAACGGCGATGTCCTCCAATCCACCCCGTTTAGACGAAGCGCGTACATCGGCCAACTCTTCTCTAACTCGGTTCAACTCTGCTTCCAAATGAGCCTTAACAAAAAGCCATGAACATGATTGCACTCGATCCTCAAAGCGTGGACTGCATGTGGGACGAAAATCTATAGGAAAACATCAACCAGACTGTATAAGCAGATAGAACAAGTACCACTATTCAAAGAGTAACAAAAGACCAAAAACAAAAGATATTCACCACTCTTCTGTTGGCGTCGTTCAAATCTCTACTCAATATATCGATTTGTTCGTTCTCTAGAGCTTCTTTTCGGTCAGCCGCCACCCGTGCGACATCTAGCCGTCTTTGTGCATCTCTCATCAGTGCTTCGAGCTCGCTTACCTGGAATGAGTAACTGAATTGACACACCTCAAGCTTGTTATTCTTGCTATCTCGAGCTCATTTTGAATAGCATCGGGTTTTGAGGACAACACAAAGTGAAGCTATTCTCAGTAGAAACAACAGAACATGCCACTAAACAGATACTAATGATCAGCCAATTCCAGAACATTACTGCTTTGAACTCTTTTCATTGAATGTTTTCAAGCACACTCGTAGAGTAGCGATTCCCTTACTGACTGGCAAACAACAATTATAAAACTGCAGCATTCAGACTGCAGACATATACCACTTATTTTGGCTTCACTTTTCGTGACCAATCGAGAGCATATTCCGTCTTCTCCCTCCTTCCGAGCTCTCGAAACGCAAAATTCATAAGCGATTTCCCACCTGCTAGAAAAATGCGACAAAAAAGAACACCGATAATCCATGCAATTTAGAGCAGATGCACAAAAGGAAGATACCGGAAGCGTCGCCCAATGCCTACGGATGAATGAATGACACTCGCCTTTTTTTCAAGAGCCGCATTTTCGGCTTTGAGTTTATCAGAGCGCATTGTAGTCTCGTGATCACGTATGGAGAACTCAGTGCGCAGGTCCTTTTCAATGACGACGACTGCTTTTTCTACTTCTCTCGTCTTTTCTTCTTCCAGCTGCTTTATAGTTTCTCGAAGTTGGCGGATTGTGACATCTGAAAGACCACATGTTAGCCCACTCAAAGAAATTCTGTGTGAGAGCCAGACAGCATAAGTCCCACTGTTCAAAGGGATATTAAATATTTTGCTTCCAAGATACTCATTCTCAACTACAATATCCGTCCTTAATTACGAAGCCACAGCATATAACATGCTTGCTAACATATCAGCGAAAGTTTGTTGATCTTGTTTCATCTCTACAGCGAGAGCACTTCTCGCGGACCTGATTTAAATAAAATGAAAAATCTACTATGTAAAATTAGTGACTTTCTCTCACAAGTATAGATGGTGTAGCGTTGAGTAGAAGAAGAACGTCACTTGGAGTACGAGAGCACGACTGCAAGAACAAGTGCAAAAATCCACCGTGGACTTTGGTGAAAATGGCAGGGCATTTCATAGAGGAAAGACGAAAGAAGTAAAAGGAGGGTAGCTCACTATATCCACTATATCCAGGAACACAACGTGATCGTCAAACAGAGCACTTTACGGCAAACAGGGACATGCTGCGCAAACGTTAAGCACCGAGCATCCATGAAAGGTTTGGCCATGAAGGGGATCAAAAGCAAGCGGGTGGTTCAACCTCAACACATAAGGGAAAGCGCTGTACATGACAACGTCAAGCGATGTACGAAAGCAAGACATTCCAGGCGACAAGGCCGCTCCACCGAGAACGTAAGAAAGGTGTCAAAGGTAAGCAGGGCGGTTCTACCTAAAAAGTCGGGTCCCCCGGCTAACGTCGGCCTTCTCTCCTTCTTACGATAAAGTTGTAATAATAGGCAAACGGCAAGCTCCTTCTTTGACACAAATGATTCTCCTCGGAACACGAAACTTGACAGAGGACTAAGAGGGCAGCAAGTGGTATCCTGTGCCGATGCTTGCGCCTATAATCAGAAGTCTGGATCTGTTGCTGTTCAGCTTGAAAATAAGGACCCATTAAAGATTCAAATGTGCCGAATTAAATACATGCTACACACGCCCGCCCCTTTTGGGGGAGTCCAGTTCTGCCACCTAAAACCAGAGCTTACATCTGCCGCCTGTAATCCTACCAAGTTCGAACTCTCCAGCTCCACGGGAACCTGAGTTATGAATTTCCGGCCCACACACACACACAGACAGACTAACCAACAGACACACTTAGTGACAAATTTAACAAACAAACGTACGCAAGGCATTCACGGCGAACAAGCTACACCACCACAGATGGCTGTGGAGCAGGGTCTCACTGCTTGGAAGGCTGCAGAATAGGTCGTCAGTAACGAGAATTTATCTACGGCACTGCAAGCAGAGCGGTTCGCCCCGGACAGAAGCAGGACGTCATGATCTAGAATAGTACTTCGCGGCATGAGGGTGGGTGACAGCACTTCTTCCTGATTTCCCAGGCTCGTTTAGCGGCATGCGGCCACTTCTTTTTCGGTTGTCTCGTGGCTACAAACTGTAAGTACCGTACTCAGTCCGCCTCTCGGTCAATCGATAGGACACCACAGTTTTCGTTGACTGTCATTACTCTTTCGGTTGATTTTGTTGTTTCTTACGGTTTCTTTTTTGTTTTGATGTTTATTAGACTACATTGTCTGGAATGACTCGCTCTCTACTGTAATATTGACGACCAATACCTCATTAGGATTGAAGAAAGTTTCCAGCAGATGTAAAAAGTTAAAAGTCTCTAACTCATACATTGCGCGCTCCAACGTTCCACCGCATTTCTACGATACGCGGGGGTGCGGCACGCGCGACGCACTGTTCGGGGAGAAGATCCGGGCCTAATGAGGGAACACGTTGTGCAGGGCAATGTCAAGCGACGAACGAACGCAAGGCGACCAGGCCAGCCCAGCGAGAACGCATCGCCAAGCAGGGCGGTTCTACCCAACGTATAAGTGCTATTGCTGCGCAGGGCAATG